TCCTTGGGAAACAGGAATAAGGAGGCCATTGAGCCTGTTCCATCATTATTACGGCCTTGCAGATTTCTAAATCCCAATGTGATTTAATTCAATGTGTAAAGCTTTATAAAAACACTAAACTTCTGACAATATTAATTTTTTTTAAATTGCAACACTTCTGAAAAGCTGAATCCTTTCACCTCACAGTCAAAGCAATGGGTTCAGGAGAGGAAAAATGATGGCCAAAAGTCCAATCAAAACGGAAGGTTTGGAGGCGGACCTTGACGGAGCAAGTCAAAGGGATTCAAGGATGGAGTTCGAGAGTCAGGGGGCAGATACTTATAGAAACCTAGTCTTCAGATTTTTAACATCCCAATTCATTTCAGTTAGTGATAGGATTCAAGGTTAATTGTCCAGATTTCAACTAAATAGAGTTCAACTAATTAGCAGTCTTAGAGTTTTCACCTAAAGTTTGGGTGGCAGCAGGGTGGGGGGCGGGGTGATGGCCAAAAGCATGGTCAAAAAGGTTTGGAGGCAGATCTTGAAGGAGCAGGTCAAAGGGACACCAGGATGGAGTTCCAGTGTGGGAGCTGATAAACCAAAAGCCTGGTGGTGACATAGAGTATATGTGAAGCAGACGCTAAGCGAAGGGAGTGACCAGATTGGTAGGGTTTGAGGGGGTTGCAGAGGGTGGAGCAAGACCATGGGAGCATCTAAAAGTTAGGACAAGGATCATTTGTATCATGAGATTTTGTGTCAACTGTATACATCAACTAAATGAAGAGATTTACAGTTAAATAGAACACATGGTGGTCATAGAACAAAGAAATAAATACGTTTCAGAAATGCTTTATTTTTGCTACCTCTTCAATTGTTCACTGGCACCATTTTGCACTATTATTTTTAAATACAACTTTAGCTGAAAGGTCTGCAGCAAATCTGTAACCCATTAGTGTTGCTTCTTAATTTGCCTCCATCACTGCTAAAACCTAATACGTTTTCCTTAACACATCCTGATATTGAAATCTTGGCTGAATTTATAATATTGATCCAAAAAGATTAAATTATCAGAAACAGAAAACGGTACTGTGTAAGACTCATGTTAAGTTTGAATATTGCACGAAGTTTGGAGTTTTTAAATATAGCTTTACATAATGATTGAACTCATTGATCAACTTAGAAGTGTAATTTCTACACTGTTGAATGGTTTTGGTTTCATGTTACCTAATAGCTCAATGTAGAAAGGAATTCATTATCATGTTGTTTTGAATTACAGGTGCCACACGAATCAGTTGTCAATTTCACCAATCGACAATGCAATTACGCAGCTATGAAACAAAGAGGTGAAGAAAAGAAGCAAAAACAAAGTAAATATTCATAATTGGTTCTTCATAGCAATGCTGCACTTTTCTTACAATGCAAAAGAACGAATATAGATTTTGACCTCGATTACGCTGTACATATCAAGTTTCACGATACTTTCATTTATACAAGTGAATAAACTAATGTGACAGTTATATGAGGTAAAGCTGCCACTTCTAAGCACTTGTTTTCAATCTCATTGACCAACTTGCAGGTGTAATTTCTAGGCTATTGAATGTTCTTGGTTTTATGTTACCTAACAGCTCAAAATAAAAAGGAATTCATTAGTGGTGCCTTTTCTATTGTATATTCTCACTTCAGGGCAATGTCCTTGCCTGGCTCAGACTTAGTTGATGTGAAACTTCACACTCTCAGACCACTAAGTAGAAAATCTGTCTAATCTTTCCTCCAGTTCAAAAGGGGGTTATCCCTCTTTCAGCCAACAGATAGATGGCTCAGATCAGAGAGTTCAGGGAGACACTTAGCCACTCTGTCAAAAGCTCATTTTCTAACTGATCATGATAAACTGATAACAATGCTTTTCTGGATCCTTATACAAGTCTTTATCACAAGATCACAAGATTAGTTTGGAGGAAACCAATCCTTCGGTTCATTTGATCTCATCCTTCCAGAACCCCCCAATGCAAAAATATCCAGTCAAATGCATGTGTGTCACCATAAGTATTCCCAATCATCAATGCCTCAACTACACATGATCTTTCTGCTTTGTCCTTGGCCAGTCAGCCCCATCTTAAATAAAATAATCTAAAAATGTGCTTGTTTGTGCTACCTTTGTTTTCTTTAAGGGTTTCTAATCTTATCTTCTAAAGATTAGTGACTATCTTAACCCTGCTCTCTGGGAATTTTCAATTCAAAATTCAAAGGCCAATTCCTTATTTCTATTTGGAAAGGGAACTTTCAGAATATCAACAGGGTATCTCTCCTGCCCAAAGGTGCATACCGATAGCTGTCCAGGGAGACCAAGCTATGCACTTTGTTAAGTTGATTATCTGTCACATTCCCCAATTATATTAGATCTTAAAATATTTGTTTATTGGCACAGGTATCCATGCTGCTGGGTTCTGAGTGGACTCCATTAGTTGTCTTTCAACCTCTATCCCCTTTGATTGGCAAGAATTCCCACTATGCCAGGTTTCTTCCTTATTTAAAAAAGGACAAACTTGCCTTAGAGGGGGTGCAGCTTAGATTCATTAGGTTAGTTCCTGGGATGAGGGGACTGACCTATGAGGATAGGCTGAATAAACTAGGGCTATATTCTCTAGAGTACAGAAAAATTAGTGGAGATCTTATTGAAACATATAAGATACTAAAAGGGCTGGATAAAGTAGACACTGAGGGACTGTTTCCCCTGGTAGGAGAATCTATAACCAGGGGTCACAGTCTTAAAATTAAGGGTCAGCCTTTTAGAACAGAGTTGAGGAAACATCTCTTCACTCAGAGGATAGTGAATTTATGGAATTCACTACCCCAGAAGGCTGTAGATGCTCAGTCCTTGAACATCTTCAAGGCTGAGACTGATAGATTTTTAAAAAACGGAGGGATTAGGGGATATGGGGATAGGGCAGGTAATTAGAGTAAGGTCTGAAGATCAGCCATGATCTTATCGAACGGCGGGGCAGGCTCATGGGGCCGAATGGCCTACTCCTGCTCCTAATTCTTATGTTCTTATGTTCTTTCTATACAATTAGGTTCCTTTACAGATTCATGTTCAGCCTCCCAGACTGGCAACCTATTAAGAATAGATATTTAATTCCATTTAACATTACATTCAATATTTATCACATCAAACCTGCCCTGGTGTGCCAAAGGTAGACCTTCCAAAGTCGTTCAATTGGAAAGCCAGCATTACAGCATTCAATTTTGGGCTTTCGATTTCAACTTCCAGATAGCAGGACAGCAAACACTAAACTAATAGAGCTTAATTTTTGGTTTAGTTATAGCTCTTCACTAACTATAGTAAAACTCAAATAAGTTATATCAATCAGGTCCATAACATTTAATATGACTTATAAGTAAACTTGCGTAAATCATATAAAATCTGATTTAATCAATAATCTTTTGTGCATGCGTACTTGAATACAGCCAGTAGGTGCACATGCATCGACAAGTCAGGTCTTCATTTCCTATGCTTGTATCAAACTGAACACTGAATATGTGTACTTCAATGCTGCAACATCGCCCACCTCGATCACTACTTCAAACCCAACGCGCTGAAACCCTCCTGCACATCGGCCTCCGCAGCTCCATTCAACAAAAGCTGCAGATCATATGGAACTCTGCAGTCCACATCCTTTCCCCCACTAGGGTCTACAACCTCATCACCCCAATGCCCTTCCTCGTTCCACTGATCCTTATGCCCCTGGTTTCTCATCCCCTATGAGTCAACTTTAAAGTTCCCATCCCAACCTTCAAATGCCTCCATGTCCTTGCCCCACTGTACCTCTGCAACCTCTTACAATCCTCCACCCAGCCACACCTTCCACTCTGACAAGTCTTGCCTGCTTCATGTCCCACCCAACCAATGCTTTTGGGCACTTTGCTTCCCTCTATGGAACTCGCTTCAAACAAGTTCCACTTCATCCCTCCTCTCTCTGCTTTCAAAACTCACCTAAAGACCAATATCTGCCTTAGACCTTTGCTACCCTCCCTCCATTCCTCCACCCCTTCCAGCTCAATCTCCCACCCTATGTAGTACACCTGAAAGGAGCTATACAAGTGAAAACTGTTGTTGTTGCAAAATGCCAAGTCAACAATGTTGAGAATCAGAAAAAAAATCAATCTAAATGGTGAGAATTTCACATTTGTTCTTGTATCACATACTACTGCTGAACTAACAACTTGCAGTTGGAGATACATCTTTCACATCGGATGAATTGGTAACCAATCAAATGGTAACTGAGAAAAAGGTACAATATCAGCAGTTTTGATACAAGTTGCAATTGAAGATTTACGATGTATATATTATATATTTATGTAAAAAGACAAATTTTATCAAATCACCTGGAAGTGAATGACTGAGGCATACCTCGAGACGTCATTTAGAGTGATACATTAAGTTTAGCTGAGAAGGAGTCAAAAGTAAAACTATATCATGTTTCAAAAGTATGTTCAAAATGAGGCTGTCTATATAACCAGGATGGGAATAAAATACACTACAGGAAAAAGATGAATCATTGAAGTATCCCTGGAGTTACTTTTTCTTAAGAGAGTATGGAAATATCCAATCAGAATTTGGAGGGTAAACAAATGGGGAACATTGATTAAATGTATTCTTTGTTCAGTCTGGGAATCAGCATGTACACAAATGATAATAATAATAATAATCCTTGCATTTGATATAGCGCCTTATTACGTCTTTGAGACATCTCAAAACACTTTCACAGAATATACTGTAAAGTGAATTGACTGTATATTTTGTGGGCGAACTGCAGCAGCCACACACATCAGTGTTCCAGAAACAGTTATGGATTGAATGACCAATTTATTATTTTTTTAAAGAAATTATTACGCCCAGAAAAGTGATCTGCCAGTCGACTAACAATCGGGTTTCTACATACATTCTAGGTAAACAGAGGTTTTGGAGTAAGAAAAGTTGCCCAACATTTTACAAAGTAAAAGTTATAAATAGTGCCACTTACCGATCTCCCTTTGGCTTCCGTTTTTGCACCGTCTTCCCTTTAGGCCGCCTCTCACTGCCTAAACAAGGGGCACCTCCTGGGCCTGTCACCCGTATTGACTCCAGGCCTTTGGAAGATTTCTTAAAAGTGAATTCCACGGGCTCTCCTTCTTTCAAACTCCTGAATCCTTCCATGTAAAGTTTGCTCTGTAGATGCAAAAGCAGAAAGGGAACTCACTGCAGTTAAATCATGACTGAAATAAATGTGCTTTAAATAAGTTTTTTTTTAAAAATCAGTGTTGTTAGTACTAAGACTAAATATTTGTTATTTGTTTATTTTACTAATCTCCATTTTTACCATGTGTATTAAAGGATTAAATAGTTGGCTGGCAAACAAAATTAGGTCAGTACAATAACTCATTGTACTCATTCTACTGCTTAACAATTCCTATCCTAAAAAGTTACCACTCTTTAGATCCTCTGTTTTTGCCAGAATGAAGGATTTTGGAGTGATCTTTATACATCTGTTGCACATTGCAATTTTAATAACATTTGGTAACATTGCACATCTACTTTGATTATAATAATGTTATTTTTCAAATTAGACCTGCCAATTTTCAAGTTGAATGCCTTTAATACATTTATTATACCGGCAGGCCAAATTTTGCTTATGTGGCCACATTGCGAAATACACTTGTAAAATATGCATGTAGAATAGCCCTCAGGTGTTGCACACAGACTACTTTGCACTTTAGTATTAGTATTATTGCTTCTTATTTTAGAAGCTCCCAATCTTAAAATTTCACAATTGCATTTTGGTCAACTTATTCACCATTTAATAATAAACACCTGAATTGCATAAGTTGCAAGGATTGAAAAAGCTCCAGTGTTATGATTAAGTGCAGTTATTGGTAGTCATTTATTGTCATTGCACTCCTTGCTTTAAGGCTAACTCAAACAAGCAATAAACGTTTATTAAAGCTACGGTTTTAGGTTGCGTTTTGCAGAAAGTCTGTCCTGCTGCAACTCCATGCAGTTAAGCACCGATTAGTATGAATTAGGTCATGAAAAGTGAAATCCTAAGCAGAACGGCATTGTTCGACTAAATTATACAGAAAACTATCTTCAATCATCAGAGATTTTATAGAGCATGATGCTGTTTCCTTATTCTGGTTGGTTTATAATTAGAAGCCTCTTGGCTGTTTGGGGATCTTGCTGGCATGAATGACTGCTGCGTTTGCCTACAAAAACAATCATTACACTTGCCAGCAATGATCTGTGAAGTGCTTGGAGACATTTTGACCTGATAATGCACTATAAAAGTGAAAGCACTTTGTTTCTTTAGGAAGTTTTATGCAAGGTACAATGATGGATATGTTTATTATTCTCATAAATAACATTTTAAAAATCAAGTTAAAATCAACAGTAGATTTGTTTTAATTTTTTTGTGCAGTTATACCAACTTTCGAATTTGAACTTAAAAGCCCCCACAACTTTCAATTGTGTGGAACATTCACAATTTATTTAATGCGAGGGAATCTGTGGAGTAAGGAAACACCAGACTCCCTCTAAATTTGCCACTGCGGATGGCTTACATCACAATAGCTGTTCCTACAAATAGTGTATCTCACACACAACTGTATCCCACAACAGTAGAAAAATCTATTCATGGAATTCAATTTTAAAACCTCAATTAGCTGTAGATCAGGATGCAAAAAAGGTAATCTGCACCCCAACAAAACATTGTATATAACTGAAACCTGCATCACAGTCTCACCTAACGTGTGACAAATTGAAAGTTTCAACAGGGTTAAGAGCAAAGCACCCAAGAAATCAAAACACTTATTCTGATAAAGAATATCTGTGATCAAGGAGATGAATATGGGCTCATTAGAATTGGAAATGTATGCAAACAGGGACTGTCCCCAATACCCAAGTAGGTAAATGTACCGTGTCATGAAAGCCCCAAGATCAAGCCCTGCTCCCTGCTATCGAACTCAGGGAAGCTGAAAGGGCACCACAATTGGACTCCGCATCTCTGCGCTAGAGAAAGGAAAGAATTCAGCTCAGGTTCTTCAGCCTTATCTGCGTCCAGTGACATCTGCTAAAAAGTGATTGTGTGCAGACATCATTGAGGACAAAGTTGGGCTCAGCTGTGATGATCTCCAATCAAATTGCCTGGCTACATTCGCTGTCTCGTTCCACACAACAATAATGACCATTTGGGTGAGTTGCTGGAGGAATAATGGCTATTTGGGGTAGATAATGTTGGGCTGCTGACGCCTGTGGGACTGAGGGTCCAGCATTAGTTAGAGCCTTCATGAGACGAAGGGATCACATTGGAAAACATAAAAGTACACTGACGTATGAAACATGGAATCAAACTACATAGTTCTATCTTCCAAAGGGTCCATATTAACCACCAGCATCATTATTAATGGCTGACACAGCCAATGATAATTAAGTCAATAAACAAGAAATGCTATTTCTGGTACTGTGGCCTTAACAAGAATGCTTTCAGCTGCTGGGGCTTATTATGCTAATTGTTGGATACAGGCAAGTCTTTCCTTGCTTACAAATTGGGTGAAATTCTTGATGACAAGATGCTGCAGGGCAAGGACGCCAGATCTATCTGGACATCGGTCGTAGTGAAAATTCTGAGCGTATTTTACAGGATGTTCTCAGTTTCCATCCAAATAGCACAGACTATTTTGGAGCAGACAGCATTGATTGTTGAGGAATAGATAATAATAATCCTTGCATTTGATATAGCACCTTATACGTCTTTGAGACATCTTAAAGTGCTTCACAGAATACACTGTAAGGAGAATTGACTGTATATTTTGTGGGCGAAACATCATGACTTAACAAATGTACAGGGATCTTAAGGGAGTAACTAAGCAACCAACAAACAAAACAACAATTTGCATTTACATAGCACCTTTCATTCAGTATAGTGTCTCAGAGTACTGAAACTTGTAACTGAGACCTATCCCGTAGTTCCACACATTAGATTTTTAAAGAAGGTTAAAGCTCATGGGATAAATAGTAAATTAAGTTGCATAAAACTATCTTAGCAACAGGCAGGCATCAGAAGGAGATATTTGGAAGCAGTAAGTAATGGAGAGTTCTGCAAAAGTCTCCATCAAAAAATATATGAATAATAGCAAGCTAAGAGGGCAGGCAAACAACATGAGAGTAAATAGCATAGAGCATGGAATGGCACATAAATTTTAATGTAGATAAAAGGAAGGAAAAGCATACTGGAACAAGAAATAATAAAGAAATGTACACAATGAGGGATGTCCTGTGACCAAAAGAGAAAGTAAAGAATTTGGATGTTATTGATTAATCAATGTTGGTTTACCAATCAAACAAAATCAAATAATAGGGTTGCATTTTAGGACATTTGATTGCAGTATAAATTAAATGCAGTTGTTCCAACTACTTGTAGATCAGTCTAGAACTGTCATTGGAACAAAAGGGTGAAGTCTTTTTTATGGCAAGAGAGGTGATCAGTAACATTCAAATAACCCAAGTCCAGAGTGAGTCAGTGGTAGCTTCAAAAGTGGCTTGTTGCAAGTCTGAGATGCTGTTGGCAAATTGCTAACAACTCCTTCAAAATAAATTGGTCACTCAATCCACGATTGTTTGTGATACATTGCTGTGCACAATTGGCTGTCACATTTCACCCACAAAATATACAGTCAATTCACTTTACAGTATATTCTGTGAAGCGTTCTGAGACGTCTTGAAGACTTAATAAGGCGCTACATCAAATGCAAGGATTATTATTGGTATTATTAAATTTCACCCACTGACTGGACTTTTGGACTCCTCAGCTTCAAGTGGATAATAAAGTTGAAAAAGATAGAAATGAGGATAATTGAGGTCTTTGAACGCAAAGATGTGAAGAGAGGCTCACAAAGCAGAATATTCTCATTACATGGCTCGATGGTGCAAATGACTGTTCTGTAATCCAGAGTGTTCCTTCCAAATTGCTTTCACCAATATAGACCAGACATTTTTCAGCACAGAAGGCCGCCATTCAGGCTCTTTTAAGAACAATGCTTTCAGTCCCATTTTCCTGTCCTTCCCCCATACCCCTGTAGTTTACTCCTTTTGAGATATTTATCTAGTTCCCTTTTGAAAGCTAATATGTATGTGGAATTGAATAATATAATTCACATTTTGACAGCTCAGAGAGTTTGTAACGTAACCCAGTAGCTTCAGGCTGGAGTGTAAATATTGCACTAATATTTGTAAGTGGTTTTGAACTTCGTAGGTATGTATGCAACCAACACATGGAAATTTCCCTGCATCTGGAATGTGCACTCTTCCCCGAGAGGAACGCATCCTGCTTATCTAATTCCAGAGAGTTAGGTTGGTGAGAGCCAAGGCTTGGGGACCCCAGTGTGTGCTGGGGTGCTGGTGGAGCTTAACCAGTTAAACCCTCATAGCTCGTCACTGAGAGCACTGTCTGGCATGTTAATAATTTCCTCCTTCCCCTCACCCCACCCACACCCAAGAAAGGGTGGAAAATATGTGTAACAAGTTTCTTAATGAATTACAAGTAGTTAATTTGTGGTCAGTTCATACATTTAAAAGGAACTGGACAAATATCTCTTGAGAAAGGGTTCAAGGTTCGAGGTGAGAGCAATCTGATATTCCTGTGGTTGGTTACAACGTGGGTTAAGATATGCAAGATAGAAATGGGGGGAAGAGGGTAGAGAATGATAAGATGATCTTGTACAAATTCTGTATGGAATGTGCTTGATGGGACAATTTTATTGGTCTGTTATTTTTTAAATAGTTTAGTCTCTGCTACATTCACCGTAATCGCTCCTCTGTTGTCTTTAAAATGCACTGTGTTCAGTGTATCCTCCCCTATTGGGTGGACCTATCCTATCCAAAAACGAATCCTATCATCAAATTAAAGTACCGCCCATCCCCGGATCTTTCTTAACATGTCCGTCATTTTCTTATGGATTCAGATCACCAAGACCCAAGGCAAAAAAACACCTGTCCCAGCTACTGCCAAATAATAATCCAGATCAAACAATTTCTTATAGAATGGCACAATTTCTCCCCATTTCACTTAGATGTTAATGATAAGCTTTACAGGTAGTTAAGCTTTGAGGAGGAGTCTTTCAAGCATATACCAAGCTGTAAACTTTACTCCTATTTTAAAAACAGAAGATATTATA